AAATCACATGCTTCTCCCTTGACTCTCAACCAACCATAGTAGGTAACTTTGGGCAGTAGATGAAATGAGTTCTTAAGAATATTTAAGCGATAGAATGCCATGTTTACAAAGCCCTTGTAGATTCCTTAGAGGCTGTATTTGTTTGTCAGGTGCTCATCGATGTGCCATGTTCAGACCTGGCTCGGGAACTACGCCAAAGTTGTGCCACCATTCAGGGGCTCCAGAACACGCTCCAGCAGGTGCTTGACCAGAGAGAAGAAGCCCGTCAGTCCAAGCAGCTCCTGGAGCTTTATCTCCAGGCTTTGGAAAAGGAGGGCAGCATCTTCTCAAACCAGGAAGGTAGGACTCTCTCCTGGGGGAGTGACTCTGAGAACTCGGGGCCAATGGAGCTTTCCCTTGAGAGAAGACCTCATGTTTGCAATGCAGTCAGAAACACCAAAGCCACGTGGGATCTTAGAATGACATGTTTCTCTCTTGCCCAACTGATTACTCTGGCTGGTTGGTTATGTGGCTGTGCGATCATGTGGTGTGCTGATCTCTGTCCCGCATCTCCTTTGCAGAGTCCGGAGCTGGCTTCAGTGAAGAGGGAGATGCAGTTGACACGGGTATCAGCGGAGAGATCTCCTCTGAAATTACACTGACAAGCCAGATCCTTACAGCACTGAAGGAGAAGCCTGCTCCAGAGCTGAGTTTATCTAGTCAGGATTTGGAGGTGGGCAAGAACCAGGGTCCCTGACCTGCAGAGAATGACGTGCCTTGGAGATGTAGGATTACCATGCAGAGGCATGTACGGGATTTTTTCTCACCTCTGCAGACCTTGAATCATAGCTGCCAATTTGCCTATCATACACCAAAGCATTTACAAACATCTCATTTAATCTAAATCAAAATGGCTTTTAAAAAAATGAGTGCACGTCCTCACATCATTAAACACTACCCTCTGGTCCAGAGTCAGTAGTGAAAGGCTAAACCTGACAGGGAGGACTAGAAGGGCTCCATCTTCTGAGATGGCTTCCGCTTCTGTCAGTGGTCAAAGAAGATCCATAGTCAATCCTGAGGTCTGTACAATATCACATGAAAAAGCAAACTTGAGGGTATCATTTGTGCTGGCCGTCTAAGACCAGGAAACTAGAAGCTTGACAAAGGGAACCCATTGGGGTGGGTGTTACTAATTCTTTTCCTTGGCCTTGTCCCACGTACCTCCATATTGTAGACAGAAGGGAAGGAAACCATTGACGTGAGCTTGGATAAATTTCCTGTAGGTGGAGGACTTGAGAGGTGCTCCAAGTAAACTTCTTTCCAAAGATCCTTTCCTGTTGGTATTGTATGGTAAGAAAAAGGGACTTGACCATTTACTGTGAAAGAAAGCTGGCATTTCAGTGTAAAGAGATAATATAAACTGATGTTGCCTAGTTGCATTCCCCTAAAGAACATTATGAGAGGCAGGGTGCCTATAATCCCAGCACTTTGGGAGGCCAGGGATGGGAGGACTGCTTGAGGCCAGCAGTTCAAGACCAGCCTGGGCAATATAACGAGACCCCATCTCTACAAAAAAAATTTTAAAAATTAGCCAGGTGCAGTGGCATGCACGTGTGGTCCCGACTGCTCAGGAGGTTAAGACAAGAGGATTGCTTAAGCCCAGGGGATCAAAGTTGCAGTAAGCTGTGATCGCACCACTGCACTCCAGCCTAGGCAATAGAGGACACTGTCTCTTAAAAAAAAAATAAAATAACTAATCATCTTTTCAAAACAAAAATCAAGAGAGCAGCAGGTAAGGAGCACAGAAGTAGTGGTTCTCAGTGGTTCTCATTCTTGCTGCAGTTGGTTACCAAAGAAGACCCCAAAGCACTGGCTGTTGCTTTGAACTGGGATATAAAGAAGACAGAAAACGTTCAACAGGCCTGTAACCAGGAGCTCGCCGTGCGCCTGCAGCAGATGCAGAGCTTGCATTCTCTCAGGAACATTTCAGCAAGGAAGAATTCACTACCTAGAGAACTGCAGAATCCTAAACGAGCCAGACAAGATCCCACGTAGTTACAGCTGGAAATACGCCAAGGAGAACCCTGTGGCCTTGCTTTTTGTTATCTGTAAATACCTTCAGCCTGGTGATTTTACTACCTACATACTACTCTACCCCCTGCCTTAGAATACGTTCTGGATCAGGCTGGAAGATTGGCTTTATGCTCCCTCCAGAAAAGCTATTCCAGGTCTCAGCATGTCCTTCTACCAGTTTGGAATGATATAGCTGCACCAACAGTAGCCCACCTCCTCTAATTACGTATTCTTACATTCCTTGTTTAAAAGTAATCGTCAAGGGCAATGAAATTGTCATATTTTTGGACTCGTTATCCTTATCCTAAAGACAGAACTGCAGAATTTTAAACACAGAGGTATAAAAAGTGACATAATAGAGTGTTGATTATGGCCACAAAGTTGTTTCTCAAGTTAATGAATTTTTTTGTTTGTTTAAAGGCACACATTAAGTTTGCAGACCATAGGGACATACAGAGTTTACTTCATCATTTCTAATATCTAATTCAGTATTGTGAAATTATATCTGTTACCACTGTGAAACTCTTTGGTTTTCTAATATGTTTTATCAGCAAGGGGTATGAAAGGTCATTAAAGTGGTTTCCATGCGATATGACTCCAAGCCTCTCTGGCTGCAAAGCAGAGCACTTCTGGTTTGTTGCCTCCTGTTTCTGTACAAACTTACTCTGCAGGTTTTGTAATCTACAATACATTGTTCTTGCGGGGAAGGGGGGGGGGGAGATGATCAAATCGTTATCATTGGCTTATTTGACTTTTTTAAATGCATGCTTAGATGAAAATAGAATGCCATTAAGAGATAAATTCCTGGGGAGAAGGTGGGGTACAAAGAACAATTAAAACAAAAAGAACTTCCTTCTGTGATCATCTTCAAGGAGGGCTCAGATCTACTCAACTTCTTTTTACTAATGCCTTACCCTTACTAGCCCCTGTACTTCCTTTTTTATAGCTTATTTTGAAAAATAAAAATATTTCTTTCTGCAGAATGGGCTATTTATAAATAAAATAGAAATATAACTTATTTTGGAATACCTTCTGAATTATCCTTAAATAGAAGCCATAGCTGATAACCTACCCACACTCATAAGAGCATCGGTATAATACCCTGGATTTAATATTTCAGGAGAAGCAAAAGGAAAATAATGTCTAATATAATGGCATGTATATCACTGTCTGAACATGACCAAAGGCACATTGAGGCTGCCAGATGCTTTTACTTCCACATTGAATTACTGTGAACTCGACAAAGGCAGGCTGGCCTGGGTGGCAGTGACTGTCAGCTCAGATACCACAAGCAGCATTGCCCTTGGTGATGGGATTTCCCAGAACAGTAAAGTTCTGAACAAAATAACATCTATCCTTGATTTACAAAGTAGCTACATTCCTAGAAAATCCAGGGCACATTAAAACCGCAAGAAAATACTTTGTGCTTGGCTAGGCACGGTGGCTCACGCCTATAATCCCAGCAAGCACTTTGGGAGGCCAAAGCAGGAGGATGGCTTGAGGCCAGGAGTTTGAGAGCAGCCTGAGCAACCTGGTGAGACCCCATCTCTACAAAAAATAGAAAAATTAGCCGGGCATGGTTGGCACATGCTTGTAGTCCTAGCTACTCAGGAGGCTAAGGCTAGAGGATCATTTGAGCCCAGCAGTTTGAGGCTGTAGTGAGCTATGATGACACCACTGCACTATAGCCTAGGCTGCAGAGTGAGACCCTGTCTCAAAAAGAAAAAAACCTTTGTGCTTGTATATAAAATAATTACTTTCATATAAGATCATTTTGAATAGGTTTTCATCCATATGAATGTCTAGCATGATACTGAAAAGTCATGTATGATGTGGGACAATTCTTCCCATCCTGTGCATTGCAGGAAAACTAGTATCCCACCCCCTGATTCACTCATGCCAGTAGTAACCCAGTCACTGAGACAACTAAAAGTGTCCACACGTTTCCAAAACGCCCCTGGAGGGGCAGTAATGCCCATCGAGGATTTTTCTAACAGTCTATAGTCTGCTGTGTGTTGGCATTTAACACATTTGAGCCTCACAAAACCAGGTGAGTGAGGCAGGGCATGGCTTGTCATTCTTCATCTTATACATGAGCAAAGTTGTGTTCAGGGACTTGCCTCATGTCACAAGGCTATTGAGAAGGACCAGGAATCAAAGACAGGTCTTCTGGTTCTAACTCTAGCACTCTTCCTACTTCTCTGTATTTTTCTCTTAGGTCCACACACTTTTCTATTCTATACCCAGACACCGGTTTTCTTATACCAGTGTAATAAGTTGGCACCCTTGCCAACTGGGAAAGGCCTAACATGTCTACAGCATAACTGCCAAAACCTTCCTACGGACAGTCATCTTGCTGGTGGTGTCAGAGCAGCAATTAGACCTCAGCGAACACCTAACAGTTTACACAGTAGTAAACTGGATTCCGGAAATACAGAATGGTATCTCTATTCACCAATTAGATTGACACCTTCATCTCTGCCCTCCTAAATTAAAATATTTCTGTCAAATACACGGTAAAGCTTTAGTTGACAGGTCTGGGTGTTGGTATTCTGTACTTGAAACAAACCCACCAAGCATCTCTACTGGATGGGATAATGGAAAAGGTACTATGGGTCAGACAAACGTTGAGTCTAATCTCTCGGAGCCATAAGTTAGCCTACGGCCCCCAAGTTGAAGGAGTTAAACCAAGTTCTGTCAGGAAGAGCATAGATCCTATCACATAGGAGACAGCAGAGAGTGGATCCCTTTCATTTCTGGGGTGCAGGAGGCCCCTGTCAACAAGTCTGTAGGGCAAAGACCTTAGTCCGCAAACTCTAGCCCAGATGTGTAGTGAGAGCAGTTGCAAACATGTCATGTTGCCCCGATACCATCTACGTTCCCTCCAGGCCATGTAGAATAGCAACACGGCAGCACAGCAATATACCTAAAAATAGGAGAGAGCGAGCACAGGGCATGCCTGTTCTTACGGTAGGAGAAAAGAATGTGAAAAAAAGCAGCTGGGACTAATGAACTCTGCGTTAGCCATATTCCATTCTTTCAACTTAAGTCAAATGTCGGTCCCCATTAGGCAACTGGCTTTGACAGGAGCTATGCTAATTACCACTTACCAACCTTTAATTTCTGGGTAAAAGCAAAAGAAAAAAACTAATGGATTTTTCATTTTCCAGAAAGGAATAAAATTATAGTAGTCTGTAAAGAAACAAAACACTGCATTAATTATAAGATTATTAATGTGATTAATGTGCCTTTACTAACCAGATTGTTTAGCTCTTTAATTTCATAATTATCCAATTTTTTTTGGCTTCAGGGCTTCTCTCCATTTCATTTGTAGAGTTTTAGCTTAAATTATTTATTCAGGCTGTAATCTTAATACATTTAAGGTTCTGGGTTTTGTTTTTTTTTTTACAGACAGGATCTCGCTCCTCTGTTGGCCAGACTGGAGTGCAGTGGCACAATCATCACTCACTGTAACCTCAAATTCCTGGGCTCAAGCAATTCTTCTTCCTCATCCTCCCCAATAGCTAGAGCTACAGGCACAGGCCAGCATGCCTGGCTAACTTTTTTATTTTTTATAGAGGCAGGGTCTCACTATGTTGCCCAGGCTGGTCTCAAACTCCTGGCCTCAAGCAATCCTCCT